GAAGTACTCGTGCGTATATATAAACGTATTAATAGTATTACGTTACTCTTACGTACATATTTATATATATCATCTACTCTTATCTTCATTTTCTTATTTGGTTTTATTTTTCTTCTTTTTCCTTCCAACTAACAGTTCCTTTTTTTTTTTCTTCTCCCATCTTTCTTTTTCTTTCTTTCTTTTTTTCTTTTTCCTTCTTTCTTTTCTTTCATATTCATCGTTTTACGAAATCCCAAAAAAAACTAGGAGATTTTTAAAACGTTACAAATCGACGAGAAATAATAATCCAAAAATCGATATACGTATAACAAACACTACCATACAACGTCTATTAATTATTTGTATTTATTTTTCTTCGCGATAGTTTAGAAAAAGAGAGAGAGAAAAAAAAAAAAGAAAAATAATTAACAATAAGAAACGCGTGAATTGGTGGTTCGAACCTTATTTTCTCTTTTTAAAATCTTTTTCCCCACCACACTAACATCCATCCTACTCTTCTTTCCATCCAATTCTTTTTTTTTTCTTCATCGAACGTACGTTCCTTACTCTTTCGTATTCTTTTTACTGTTAAGCTAATTAGTATAGAAAAATGATATGAACGAAAACGAAAATGTGGGGGAACGAGTAACCGAGAACGAAAGTTCATACCTAAGATAAAAACCGTCTCTCTCTCTCTTTTTTTTTTCTTTGCTTTTTTTATTCGAAGACTCCGATAAAAAGATTCAATTAACGAGACGGCAATTAGAGATCTCTCCTTTGAAAAGGAACGTCGAAAATAGTGTTCTTCGATGGTGACTTCATTTCTTCTTCGAGATATCGCTCGTAAAAAGCGATTAAGAAGAAGAAAAAGAAAGAGGAAAGAAGAGAGAGAAAAAAGAAAGAAAAAAAAAGATATTCCCTATTTTGCTCTTCAATCGATATAATACATATATATTATTTTGCTTTCCAATTCACATTCGTACAAATCACGTAAAGCAAAAATTTGAAACACAATTCCACTTCCCCTATATAGAACGCGAACAAATTATTATTATTATTATTATTATTTATTAAAAACAATCTATTCTATTATCCAATTAACAAATTTTTAATCAACAATATTAACGAATTAAAAGAATAAATCTTTTTTTGTGTTTTCTTGTCAACGACAGACTATATACATACGTTCGTATATAAATGTGTGTATGTGTACGAAGATTTGCGAAGACGTAATGTAAAGTGAGAAAATTATTACAGTGATTACTGTAAACATAAGGAACGATAAATCGTATTATTATGACAATTAAAAAACTCTAATCTTTTCATAGTGTTACATTTAATAATTTTGCGTGTTAATTTGTACACACGATCGAATAAAAATTGTTCGAGATCAACTCGAATTTCGGGATAGAAAATTTTTTGGATGGATTAAACACGGATCGAAAAGAGAATGAAATTAAAAATTGTTTAAATTCAAAATTGAAACGCGACACGAAAGAACAATTTTTTTTTATTATACAAATCGTCCATCAATAATTTCCGGATATATTTTTCTCCGTAAAAAAAAAAAAAAAGAAAGAAAAAAGAAGATTTACGAGTTTTAGGAGTTTTACTATGGGTCAATGAAAAAATAAAATGTTCGTGTGTGTGTCCACCCACGCGACTTCTCTCCTCACCCCCCATGCTTCTTTCCGCATAAACTTATTTTCTTGAATTATTATATATTTTGAATTTCATTAATTTGTCAAAATTAAAAACGATCGGCAAATTAATAATATTTTTTGATATTTTCAAAAGATATTTTTTCTTCGACAAGAAAATTCGTCTATTACTTTTTCTTTCAAAACTAATACTACATGTGTAATACGAATAAAACATGCTTTCGAAGTTAAGCTTTTATTTTTGTAATAAAAAGTTAATGTGTGGATAGCACGGCCTTGAAAAAAGATGCGTAGTGCTAACCAAAAATATCCGAAACTTACAATTTATCAAAATATTACGTTTCTTTTGTATATTAGAGTAGAACAAACTGTAGAGTGGTGATAAATATGTTAGTAGTAGTCTCTCGTGTAAGCCAGGCATAGTAACCGATACATCTACAGTTATTTTTCATCATCAATATCATCATTATCATCATTACAAAAAAATAAAATAATTCTTGCGAAACTATGAACATTAAATTTTCTAATATTTCTTATTATAATAATAATTATATATATATATATTAATAATAAATAATACGTAATATATAATATATAAAGATAACAATAATAATATATTTAAAAATATTACAAATTTGTCTTTAAAATATTTTCCCGTACAATTCGAATATATACAATTTTATTATGCAAATGACCAGATTGAAAATTTTTTTTGTGAAAAAATTTTATCCTCGTCTAAGTATGCGTATTTTTACGTCTACGTGGTATGTCTTTCTAATCCTCTGATGAAAGATTCGAAGGATCAACACCGGTTAAAATCGAGATTTATCGTTTGAACTTCAGCTCGTTACAATCCTTGACATTATCATCACGTTATCGAAACACGCCTAAGTTTCTTCTTCATCACACGATTATTTTCATTTTAATTTTTAAGAAAATTTATTAAGATCGTTCTTTTCGATATGATTTTAATAATAACACAAGTATAATTATCGCAATTTAAATTAATATTTAATTGCGAGATTACTAATTGTAATAATAATCAATTATGAATAATAAATCATACGAATCGATTTACAAATTGCAATTATTCATTGACCAAAAAAATGTAAAAAGAAAAAACTAACGTCTATTAATTCTCATCCGGCTGACCATATAAGACTCAAGTCTCCTTACTTTTATTTGAAACATTTTTTTCTTAATACTATTCGAAAAATTATTCGGATTATATATATATATATACTCACATATACAAATAATTATAAATAAATAATTTCATTTTATAGAAATAAACCTTTCTTTTTGTGTTTCCTATATAACAAAAATACGAAAAAAAAAAAAAATAAATAAAAAGTAAAATAAAAGATTTCGAACGAATCTTTTTTCTTCTTTTTTTTTCTTTTCTTTTCTTTTTTACGAAACACCCAGTAGTATTACACCTAATATACATAAATACACATATACTGTACACATATGAACGTTACGCATGTATAACATAAGGCGTAGATCCGCCTCTCATTTATATTTTCAGAGAAGACGACGATTTATCGTCCCGAAAATATTATTTATCACGCCTACGCCATCTTCTTCTTTTCATTCCCCCTTCCTCGTCTTTTCTACAAAAATTCTCGTACGTATCAAACTATATCTTTTTGTTATTATTAATATTATTATTCATATATACATATNTATATCTATTATTATGATAAAAAGAAATGTCAAAACGAGTTTTAATTGTAAAAATTTGATAGATCATCGATAATACAGGTAATAATAATTAATAAACGACGTAACAGATAAATCTTTTTTATTTTTTCCTTTTATTCGAATTCGAATCATTTCTTTGTGGAAAAAAAAAACCCTTAACTCTCATATACTATTCAATACTATCAAAGAGTAATACATATTTACATCTTTTTATCGTTTCTTTGTGGGGTTTTATTTTTTCCGAACAGGTTAACCATCCATTTTATTACTAACCGTGCTTCACAAGTTCCTTGACTTTAATGATTTGACGTAAACCAATAATCCAACGTGGCTAGGCCGTTCTTGACGTAATAGTTAAATCATCGTGTTTTATAGATAAATACATTTGAAAGGCCGTTGCAATGATATATATATATATACTTTAAATTGGTACGTTCGTCAATTTGTTTTTTTTTTGTTTTTTCTTTTTTTTTTTTTGGATATCTGCCAATAATTAAACTTGAATTTATAATTCGATCTTTTCGTTCGCTCATCGAAATGAAACACAGACTGATTCAAAGAAATCTAATCGTTTTCCTTCATCTTATTAAATTAAAAATGATAGACACAAGAAAAAAAAAACGAAACGAAACGAAACGATTCGATTGGATAGATTTGTGTTTTATCATTTCCGGTGACACGTGAAGCAATAATCATTTCCTTACCTAATCGTACTCTCTAATCATCATTTTTCCTCTTTTAAACACAAACTGACAAATGCGAACGTGTGTGAACTTTTTGTTTTTCTTCTAATACATACATTTCTTTTCGTAATTATAAATCCAACATAATATTGTAACGATTAATATAAGCACGAGTAAAGTTCTTATTCTTATCAAAATTTCGCCTATTCAGGGTGGGGCCGGCGGCGGGGGGGGGGTCGTGGTGTTAAGGGGAGGCAAATCGCGCCACTCCTCTCGCGCAACCGTTCGTTCTTATCGTGATTTATATTGTCGACCTTATCATACTTCTTTTGCAATCGAAAAAAAGGGCAGAGTGAGATGATCGCTTCTTTTTTTTTTTCACAAAAAATTACGTATATATATATACCTTGCCTATATATATATATATATGGCATATATATATATATATACATATATATATATATATATATGTGTACAATATATAGTTTTTTTACTCGTGCTTTGTTCAACCCTAAAAGCTCGCTCTAATTTAACAATCATCGATAAACTTTTCGTAGCATTGGTTTTTGTTAAAAAAAAAAAAATTTCACGCGACAATTTATTTATATGTATATTAATTATTATTTCTACAATATATACAATATTGCGATAAGTGAGAATTTTAATATTTACATACGTATTATAATACACATGTTGGATGATGCACGGAAGAAGGCTTATCGTAAGAAAGTGTGCGAAAATAAGATGAAATTGAGGAAAAGAGAGAAAAAGAGTGGGAAGGGGTAACGGAGAGAAAGAGGGGGTGCGGGGAGAAAGAGAGAAAATAATAGTAGTAGTAGTAGGAGAGAGAGTCTGGAGCCAAGCTGGCTGCACGAGAAGGGGCTCGTCATCATCATCAACATTTACAAACCAAAGAAGTTGATTAAGTGGGGGAATACGAAGACTTATAAGACACGAGAGGCATGCCCCAAGAACGAATAGTCGCAAAAGAGTGATATTGTGAAGTGCACGAAAATTCCTAAATCATCTCGGTTGTTATTAATTCGATCAAAATAACAAAGACGAAAACAAAAGCAAAATAATAATAATAATAATAATAATAATTATAAAGATATAAACGAAATATAACGTTTGACTTTTATATTTCGTTAAAAAAAATAAAGATACATTTATATGTATATATCGATATTTAACAGGAAAGATTTTAATCGATAGGAAGAAAGCAAAAGAAAAGTGATCGATTAATATCGTTCCGTGATGACAATTAAAAACAATCCAATGAAAGGGTGACTAAGAAAATCAATATAATTTGAGCTTTTTTCTTCCCAACCCGAATTATCGAACAATTTTTCATTTATTTCCTTTTGACAATTCCAAAAGGAATAATAATAATAAGTAATAATTATATTATTATTTATTCATTTTCTTCTAAGACTATATTTTTTATATTGAATAAATAATACGTACATGTAATATTTGGTGTGGCTCAATCGATAAACTTTATTCTCATCGTTTAAGACTATAATACTCTGGTGCGGGGGGTGTAAAAGGAGAAAGGGGGTGGTAGTTTCTCGAGATTTTTTCTTCCCCCACGACACACGAAGAGACGACAGTTTCGATTTATTCAACAGTGAGTATATTTACTTTTTTTTTTTGCTAATTTATCAAAGTAGATTATTATTTAATAATAAGCGATCATTTATTTTGTTCGTTCGTTCGTTCGTTCGTTCGTTGATTTATTTAAATCATTCTTTTCGTCCCTGTCGATGAACTTCGAATTGATTTTGCATTGTTTAGCTTCGACTTTATTGAAGCATGAAGTTAAGAACCGATAAATAAATACGAATACCACTTACAGGATTTTGTCGACACTTTGTTTCTTTTATTATTCTTCATTTTCTTTCTCTCCATAAAAATGCAACGAAATCTTTCGTTTCTTTTTTTTTTTTAATTATTATTATTATTATTATTATTATTATTATTTTACCAACGCAGATAATATAACAAAAAAGAAAATATTAAACTTTGGATACCCTCGTGGAAAGTTTTTCGTAAGATAGGATGCATGGAGAACAGTAGGTCAAGTGCAACAACTAAATAATATTATAAACGAATGAATAAATCAAATAATTATTTTTCCCCATTATAAACAGAACACCTTATAATGATTAATTTTTCTAAATTTCAAATGTTTATGCTTCACAACTGTTTTCTTACGTTCTCATATTTTTTCATTTTATTTTATTAAACCCCGTACCCATAATAAATGAACAATTAATGCTAATACAAAAATACAAAATTATCTAATTATTTTATTATATTCAACGAGAGACGGATACATTTCATATAGATATTTTTTTTTTCTTTTTTGACATTATTCTTTCTTATACCTTTTCCCTCAGTTATTTATATTCGATTTTGACGAATGATAATGTTG